CCTCACCTGAGTCTTCTCTTACACCATCTAATCCATATCCTGTGGACACAACTCTCACTCCAGAAAATACTGTTGATCTTCATGCACCTGCGCCAGCATCTCCCCCGCCTGAGGTTCCTCTTGCTCTTCGTCGAGGCAAACGCCCACATGTCATGCCTGCCCGGTATGCTTCTGTTACTTCTTATTCACCTATCTTTCATAACTTTCTTGCTGCCATTCATACTATTGTTGAGCCAAAGTCCTTCCAAGAGGCAGTTCAAATTCCAGAGTGGCGACAAGCTATGGCTGAGGAATTTCAAGCATTTCAGCAAACTCATACCTGGGATATTGTTCCCTGTCCTCCTGGGATCTCTCTTGTTGGCAGTAAATGGGTTTATAAGGTCAAGTTTCGTCCTGATGGCACCATTGAACGTCGAAAAGCTCGTTTAGTGGCTAGAGGTTTTACTCAGCAACAAGGTATTGATCCCTAATGCAACAGAAACGCAGAATAGAGAACAGTACACAAGATTTACGAGGTTCGGCTACTGCCTACGTCCTCGGGAGCCACACAGTCAATTTCTTATTTAATCTAACAAGAAATTACAAATCAAGAGCAAATCCCTAAACTGGGATCTCTCAAATTGAATATTGTAGCTACAGTGTTAATACCCACTATAAAATCCCCTTTTCTCTTTTCTCTCTCTTCTTAAATCCTTTCTTTATCTCCCCTCAAAACTGTTGAGAGCTGGAGATCAAAAGGGAAAATCGCTGCTGCGATTTTAGGAGATGAACGCTGCTGCGTTAAAGGGGGATCCGCCGCCAGAGAAAAGTCGGGGAGGAGGAGCAAAGCACCTTAGGGCATCAAAGGGGCTTTTTATAGCCGAAACATTGATGAGCTGGCGACAGCCTGTCGCCAGCGCACGAACGGACGCGAGCGTGGGCGCTGAAACGCGGAGGTCGGAGCTCTGAACGCGGGGGTCGGAGTCGCCAAACACCGAGGGTCGCGTTCGCCCAAAGCCACCATCGCGTTCGCCGACTGAGGGTCGCGTTCGCCATCTGAGGGTCGCGTTCGCCTGCGACATCTCCGAGCTCGTCGGAGCTCCTCCGCCGTCGGAGATTGGTATCCATCCCAAACCTAACAAAAGCATGCCTAAGCAAAATAAAAAACAAAATTTATGTTTCAAACTTAAGACATAGATTATTCTTGATTTCACGTCATGCATGACTACTCAATCAGCACAAAAAAACCCGCAGTTGGAAGAACCCTCACTCTTCTTGAGTTCTATAAACTATTTTCTCACCAAATTCTCTTATATATCCATACTTTAGTGTATCTATTAATGATGCCTATTATGCAAGTTAATATGTTAAAATTTGCCTAACTTAATTCCTTGCCTAAAAACATAACTAGATGTAGTCTCAAGATCACTGTCGCTGCCCAAATTACTTTTTTAATTTCTAAGTCTTTGAATCTTAAGAAAATGCGCATGCAATAAAAAATATGAATCCGAATCATGAATGCAAATAACTATGCACAATGCAAATTTTTTTAAGAATTGCCATTAAATTCAAAACATAAAGAGAAATCAGAAAGAGAATATATTGAATCAGTGAATGATAATTCAAGCAAAAAACACGCTTTTATAGTGAAAAACTATAAATAAAATAATTAGTAATAAAAAAATCGACATTATTTATAATATTTTAGATGGAAACATTCCACTGATTCTACAGTGAAAGCACATTTCTCTAATAATCGAAGGTATAATGTCCGTGTTTGCAATTCTCCAATCTCCAAACATCAATTCAGGCTAATGGGCCAACTCCACATTATCCATTAATGCAATAAAAACTGCAATAATACTCCTCAATTATCAGAATATCAAAGAAATTAAGGAAGAAATTAACAATGTAAACAAACTCTTCTCAACTTAATTGAGATCGACTACACATCATTATAACTAGCTACAAACTCAGATCCAAACTCACGCCGTGATCTTTGACCGAAGATGACGACGAAGAAGACGACGACGCGGAT